TGCATAAATGCATTATCTACCCTATGACATATGATAGAAGTTGGACCGATCATCGGTGTTGCAAGTGTGTTGATCAAACCATGGCTGCATGGCACGCACAAACGATCTATAAACTAATTTGCAGACTTGTCTATACCAAGAATTCGTAAATACGCCACGCCACATATAAACATTATTAACACACAACATCAATGTATGATATAGGTTTGAACATATTGCTGTCCTACAATAAAATTTTCGATTAATTTGGACTCTATCAATATTACAAAAAAATTATTAATGAGAAATTAGTAACTTTACCAAACCAATGTTTCATCGAATAAGTTCATATTTTCCTTCTATTTATTATTATTATTTTCTATAAAAGAAAGAATGATTATAAGGAAACTTCCACCAAGACGTTCACCTACTACACACCACACACGAGACACTTCAACACCGAAGCAGAGTTGTTGGATCCACTTTTTATTCTCTCCTTCTATTCTACTCACCAGTCTCTCACCTTTTTCTTCTTTAAAATCTCCTTTTAGTTTTAAATTAGTTAATATAAATCTCATCTATATCCAATGTGATTAATATTCGTCTCTTTGATGGGTCTAATTGACTTCTCATACGTCTCATTTTTAGTGTTAAAAAGAGCTTCGAACGGTTATAGAATAGCTAATTTTTTTTAGATAATAGCAATACAGAAAACAATACGAAAAAATCGAATTTAACGTTTTCAAACGTTTTTAATACCACCTTTGTTATTGATAATTACAAAAAAAAAAAACTTTGTAGCGCACCAATCAAATTCAATTCACACAAACTTACAAAATTTTGTAATCGTCTGAATTCAGAATAAAATCCATAAATAAATACACATACTATTATCTATGTAATAGTAATAATTTTGTTGGCAGCAAACTAATGATACATGGAAAACGAATTCACTTGTTGTCAATAAAAATAACAAGTTGTTGATACACACCATACAAATAATTTTGAAATGTAAAGTAAAAATAAGGCATAACCACTTCCCTGAGTTTGGTTTCAATAATCGCAAATTTTGATTTCCCTGAGGCGTTATTACCTCAAATGCGTCTAAAAGCCCGCACAGTGTATGGGACCCACCTTAGACAGTGACCGACCAATTGCGTGTTAGGAGAGTTTCACCAACCCCAAACCGGGGGTTTTATCATAATACCGGACTTAACTAACCCGGTTCAAACCGGTTTCGTTTTTTTTTTCTCCTCCTTATATACACTTCACATGCAATCTGTGTGAATCACCCAAAAATACAATCG